ATATGAAAAAAATGGGGGGAACAACATGAATTTCAATAATTCACAGAAGTTAGCACGGAAAGAGAAGGCTGCGCCTAGTCCCACAGAGGCAGCTGTGCGGCTGCGATTCCGCTGTGGTCGGTCAGGCGCGTTACCGTTTAGCACCACTGATACCTGGCAAAATTAGGGGGTTATGAATCACCAAAAAGTGAACTACAACTAGGGCGGAAACCTAAATAACCCATTAAAAAAGTCAATTAAAAATAATCCATAAATATGTGATGCACGTTAGTGTAGCAAACCCCTTTTTGTAAACATTCTCTCCAACACAACACGTGCCCGAGAACGAAGGGAACACTGCCGCACACGGACGCTGACCTCGCAGGCTGACCGCCGGCGGCGCTGGTGAAGGCTGCGCACCACCCTCCGGTCCCGCACTTCACGGGAGCATCATAATACTGCTTTCTTTTGTCATTTGCCACCTTGGCACTTCTGTGAATTACCCTTTAAAGGAACAAAATCATCCCTTCTCTAGAAGAATGCAATTTTAACAGCTCACAATCTTTTATGGAGAAACCCAATTGGGCACCTGCTTCAAGCTGTAGCAACAGTCTGGCTGACAAGGCCCAGGCGGTGACACACGGCCCCGGAGGGCACACACCAACCCACCTGCAGGGACAAGTGGCCAGCTGAGTTCGGTACCTGAAGCCCAGCAATGAATTCAATTCTGTTCAACTCAAACCCGAGAGTGTCGGTGGGTTAGCTCCGCAGCCTGTGAAATGCCTGCGGTGCCGGCGGCCCCAGGTGGCACCACGGGGGCAGGACCACGGCCGAGCGTGGCTCTTCTCCGATGACATCCTCAGAGGAACAGTGACAGGGAGCCAGGAACAAAAGATTACCCAAGACATTATCACAAATGCCATGAACATGTTCATGAAGTAAAGTTGGTTTAAAAGACAGAGAACAACAGAATGAGAGAACAGGAGAAGCCAGGACTCTGCCATTACGCCCGGAACCCAGGACAATACGTCTCATGCACAAGCAGGATTACTACGTTCTTGAACCAGTGTCAGCACATTGCGTTTCAGAAAGGCTAACCCCCACCCGGAGGCTCCTGCAGCACCGGACAGTCGGTGTGCCTGTCTCAGACGACGCCTGTCTGCTACCCGCCCGCCTGCACGGGGTGGGGGCGCTGGTCTCGGGACAGCCGCGGCGCCGCTGACACCTGTGCCCACATACAGTCAGACTTCACCCTGATAGTTTTGGTATTAAGATTAAATTAAGCATTCATGTTTTCCTCCAAAAACACAGAAACTAAACCACCTCTTAATGCATTAAAAACAATGAGGTAGGGAAAAAAAATAAACATGTGGTTGAAAACATTTTTTTTCCTCTGCAAGTGCAGGCTGTGGTAAAACCTGTCGCACATCTAGGTTTAAACAGAAATTAGCCCTCGAGCGGAGGCAGTGCTGATACTGTCACACAGCGAAGTTCTGGCCACGACACGGACGCACACATTTCCTTTTTCTTTTTAAGAACCATCTGCACATGATTTAGGCAAAACCTGGCACACAGAAAAATGACTGAGCTCTCGGTGAAACAAACAAAATATGCAAAGAAACAAAATGGGACCCCTTCACCCCCTACCCGCCTCCCAGACCCACCCAGATGATTTTTGCAGAGTTTTGTGTTCATTGAAGTGACATTGTCACAGGGGTGGGGGGGTTGCCTTCTTCGTCCACATATTGTCACATTACAAAAAGAAAGGTCAATTAAATACATTGTTAATGTTACTCTAGCAAATCTGCTCTCGCTTCTGCAACTGCTCATTGAGACCCCACTGGCCACCCTGCCCGCCCAGCGCCGCCGCCCGCAGACCCGCAGTCACTCCAAGGGATTCTGGCCGGAGGAAAGGTGTTTGCTTGCCGGTCTGATGCTCGACCCCAAACACTATAGCACCTGATGGTAGAGTCTGAACAGCACCAGCTGCATTGCAGCCTGATTTATTTTTTAAAGAAAAAAAATTTAAAAAAGATTGGGGACAAACTGGTAGGGAGAGCAGGAAGGAGGAGGAGAGCCGTGGGGTCTGCGCACGGTCCTGCTGCCGGGCACGCGGCGCTCCGGCCGAGCTTCCGAGCCCTCGGGTCTGAAGACGGCAGCGGTCGGGCCACGGCTCTACCAGCTCAGGAGGGAGGTCCTGCCCAGCGTCATGAAGTACACCTGGCTGCTGCCGCCCGACCGCACAGAAGCAAAGAACACCTGTGGGCGAGAGAGGGGTGGTCAGCAGCAGATCCCGTGGGGCTCCAGGCCGCAGGGCACTGCCCACCACCCGCCCACGTGAGGGGTGAACCCCAAGGGCTCCTTCTACAGGAAGCTGGGAGGACGCCAATGCTTCATTTACCAGGAGTGGCCATCTGCAGCCAATGTGTATTACAACTAGGAAGGGGATCAGGCAAACAACTCCTTGTACAGTCATACTGTGAGAACGTTGAAAGAAAAAAAGGGTGTTCCTGAAACTGGGCTCTTTCTTCCACCTCCACGGCGCACACGTCTTAAAAGACACCTGTGCTTAGAAAGCGCAATGAGGTTACCCATTTCCGAGTTGCCAGGAAATAGCACAGGGTGCGGCCCCCACGGAGAACACAAGGCCGGGTGGGATTCATGGGTCGTGGGCTGTCTCAAGGCCCCAGAGAGAGCTCCCTGTGTGGCTGGAGTCCCTCAGTGAGGAGGAGAAGCACATGCTAACCTGGCTGAGAGCCGTGGGCCCGGACACAGAAGGAAACCTAGGAACGCAGGCAGTCCATCTCCTTTCGGAGACCTGCCTGTCGTCACGGAAGATAACGGCCTTGTTGCTGAAACACCCTGGTCCCGGAAGCACCTGCCCTTCTCGACCCCCAGCTGCCTGGCCTGTAACCACTATACCCTGCCCACTGCCCGTGCCTGGAACACCTGCTTTCCCATGTGATCTCTGTCCTTCCACCCGATGTAAGTGGCTGCTATGGGGAGGAGTAGAGTAGATTTTTCTGGATGCCCTGGTGCTGGCATTATTGGAATAAACGCTCACATATGATTAAAAAAAGAGAAAGCTCAATGGACAACGGGGGAGGACTCCTCAGCAACCTGTTTTTCCCTTTTAAAAAATTAAGCTAAAATGTACTAGTTATTTCATGACTCTATAAAGTTACTTACTTTTGTATCTTTTATAAACTTTGAGGATATGCCATCATGAGTGATAAAATTATTTAACGGAAGTTCAAAGAAGCTTAAACTTACAGCCACATTAAACACACGCGGGAAATACAAGCCACAAAGCTGGGCAAATCCCGGGTAGGGCCTGAGGCAGTGTGGGTTCTCCAGGTAAACATTTGGGAGATGGCCTTTCAGGTTGCAGGCAAAGGGGGGGAGGGGGCTGCGAGGGCCGCTGAGGGCCGATAGCTTCTGTCCCATCCAAACTTCCCCTTCCCTGAGGAGCCAGCCACGGGCTGTCGCTGGGACGCCCGCCGCACATCAGCGTGAAGACGCGCTCCTCAGGCTGAGGACTGGCTGCCGCGGGTGCCGGGTGCTTTCCCGAAGGAACAGCAGAGAAGGCTGGGCTTGGGGAGACCCGCCCGCCTTGCTGTCCTTCCCAAGGCAGGCCGGCGGGCCCACGCCCTGGCCATGTCTGCCCCGTTCCAAAGCTGGTCAGGGGAGAAGGCAGGATGTGGTCAGCCGTGGAAAGGAAGGCTCTGCACTGGGCTCGGTGCCCTGGGGCTCGTGTGGGAGGGGCTTGTAAACATGGCTACAAATCCACTCCTGAAAAAATGATGCATTCAGTGGGAATCTATCAAAACCCTAGGGAAAGCTGCGAACCCCACGAGACAGCAGCCACTGCGGCAGGACACAGCGAGAACGCGGGTACCTTGTCGTTGCGCTCACACAGGAATTTCAGTCTCTGAGCCCTTTTGTGCATGAACACGCCATCCAGGTGGCCCGTCTCCACAGACCGGATCTCTATGGCCTTCTCGCCCCAGCCCATCGTCTGATTGGATCGGATATAAGCTTTTGGAGAGGCAAAGACACATATTGTTAAAGATAAGAAATAGCCTTTAAAAGGTGCTGCTTATGTAATAAACGCACACGCATGCATGTGAGCGCGCGCGCGCACACACACACACACACACACACAGGCCCTAAATGACTAGCATTTAAGAGCTTTGCTTTCAGGACCTCTGCCTTTGCCAGCTTCGGGCCTATCCTGAGAACCTGTCACTTGAATCAATGGTTCAATCTATTCGTTCCCATGTCTTGAGGCTCGAGGACCACTGAGGTGTTGGCCTGAGGCTGCATTTCCATGCACCCTCCCGAGGGAGGCAGGACGAAGGCCTCCACTGCAGCAAAGCCCAGCAGCCTGAGACCGAAAACCAGGAGAACGCCAGCCCCCTGCCCCTGCCTGGATGTGAATGTTCCAGAACAGAGGCTGTGCTCCTGGCGTGACTCGGCCACGGGAGACAAGTCCCACTTCCCCTGAATGGCCTAGGATTAAATGAAGGACTGTCAACAACAAGAGTTTTAAAATGTGTTAAATAATTATTTAGATTTTGTTCTATAATAGTCCCCTGGTCTACAGTCTAACTCCCCACTGTGCACACCAACCACTCTGCTGACAAACACATGCAATTTCCAAGAAAAGCTCTACTCCCATGGCCGGTCGCTGCCTCCCCGAGCACCACGCCCCCAGCGCCACGCCCCCAGCGCCACGCACCGACGGAGGTGGGCATCTCGCCCCACTGCAGCACCACGTCCTTGGTGATGCGGCCGTACGTGTTGACGTAGACGCCCTCGTCCTCGTAGCACACCAGCAGCTCCATGCCGTCCGTGTTGGGCAGGATGATGATGGCGTGGGGCTTGATGCTGCACTGGATCTGCGGGGACACAGGCAGAGGTTCTGGCCGGCCGTCCCTGCGGAAGGGCTGGAAGCTGTCTCCGAGGAGCACGGGCTCACCCTCCTGGCTGCAAACCCGCCACTGGGTCACATCTTGGGACCCTGCCACCTCTATCCCAGTCCACCTTTCTCAGGCCCTATGCTCTAGAGCAGGGGTCCTCAAACAACAGGGGGCCAGTTCACTGTTCCTCAGACCGTTGGAGGGCCGGACTATAGTTTAAAAAAAAACTATTAACGAATTCCAATGCACACTGCACATATCTTATTTTGAAGTAAAAAAACAAAACAGGAAATACAATATTTGTATTTGCATGTGGCCCGCGGGCCGTAGTTTGAGGACCTCTGCTCTAGAGTTCCAGGAACACATGAGGACTGTGGGCACCATTTAAGAAAGGATGGTCCTCAAAGCACGCCCCCCAGGGGTGTTCTGACCACCAGCGACTGCCCGCACTCGCCCGCTGCTCGTCCCAGCAGGGCCGAGGGTCCCAGCAGGGCCGGGGGTCCCAGCAGGGCTGCAGAGCCGGGCAGGGCCCGCGTGCCCCGAGAGCACGGCTGTGACCCGCACGCCACCTAAATACTCACCCCCCGCCAGGGAAGGAGTCCCTGCTGCGAGCTCCCTAAGCAGAGTAAAGACAGTCAGGGCGGAACCAAGCAGCCAGCCCCGCAGAGGGGGCTCTTCCTTACGTGTGTCGGCAGGTAAATGTCATAGACGGATCCCGAATCCACGTCCACGGCATGGAAGCCGGCGCACGACCCGTAGATCACCTTCAGCCTCTGGCCCTCCTCCACCGTGAGGTCCACCAGCAGCGGCCGGTGCGCCAGGTCCGCGAACGACTGCAGCACAAACAGGCGGAGGAGCCGTGAGGCAGGCGGGCCGCGATCACGCCCTGCGGTGACGGGGCCACCTGCCACGGCCACAGCCACACTCGCTTCCACAAAGCCTGTCATTCAACATGCTTTCGTCTGTTGACGGAAACCTAGAAAACACATCTTCCGGAAGCCACACCCCAAACTCTCCCTCCCTAGACCCAGAGTTCTGCTGTCACTCTGTCCGTCCGCTGCACGTCCCAGCGAAGCCCGAGGGAGAGCCAGGCTCTGCAGCACCTCCTGTTCTAGCGGGTCGGGGCAGAGAGCCCTGTGGGCACCGAGGCTTTGCCAGGACTGCGACTTCCCCCTCTAACCAACACATGGGCCTGGAGGCCTAGCTCTGCAATGATATCAGTACCTACAGCTCCCAAGACAGATTTAAATAAGATACTCAAAGCAACTAGTACAGTGCCTTTAACACAGAGAATATAGTAAGAACCGATCTCAGATCATTGTAATTTCATAACCAATTACTTTCATTCAATAATATGTATATTTATTTATTAAAGAGGGAGAGAGAGAGATAGAGAGAGAGAAAGAGAGAGAAAGAGAGAGAAAGAGAGAGAAATATCAGTGATGAGAGAGAATCATTGATCTGCTGCCTCCCGCATGCCCCCTACTGGGGAGTGAGCCCACAACCTGGGCACGTGCCCTTAACAGCAATCAAACCCGGGACTCTTCAGTCTGCAGGCCGACGCTCTATCCACTGAGCCAAACCAGGTAGGGCTGTAGATTTATTTTTTAAGCAATATGATAACCCCATTTAGCCAGCTCTCCTGGGAATCAAGCAATAAGCAATCTAAATATGTCAATTTCCCTAGTAATTAAAGGTGATTTACCCTGAATAAAATATATCAAAACTATTTTTTTTAAATAAATAGAGTCATTTTGGATGAAAAATTCTTAATTTCTCACCCTACACTAAACAGCCACAGAGGCTATGCTTAAGGTTTTGTGTCTAATATTAGAAATGATATTATTAATACATTGTGGACCAGTAGTTTTATTGCTAGCTAGCTTCACCCAGTGGCCAGATAAGTTTCTATTGAAGGAGTACAAAAAACATTTTACATAAATGTTAAAGGCATGCTTTAAAATTAAATACCCATTGCATTTTGAAGTTATTTATTATATGTCCTTACAAGCTAATATCTTTTTAAAGTATGATACTTCATAAAACACTATATAATGTGAAGCGAGAATTCTCGTGATCCGTCCGCAATGTGTTAAGTTAGGTATTTACAATATCTAATGTCACAGTACTATCATTTTAATTAAAAATTTCATAAATTTGTATCTAGTGCAAACTCTAAAGTTATTTTTAAAATATCAAAAATACCCATATAAAATAAAAATACTTTTCAATTTTTTCATTAAACAAAAATGGTATATTACACATTTTAATCTACTTTTCTATTTAGGGTGTAATACTATACTATTCATTCCTGGTGTCATTAAGAATTTCTGTAACTTAATTTTATTTTTTTATTTTTTAAATTCTTGTTAATCCTCACACAAGCATATTTTTCCCATTGATTTTTTTAGAGAGAGTGGAAGGGAGGGGAGAGAGACACACAGAGAGAAATACATGGATTGGTTGCCTCCCACACACACCACCATTGGGGCTGGGGATCAAGCCTACAACTGCGGTATGTGCCCTTGACCAGAAATGAACCTGGGACCCTTCAGTTCTTGGGCTGACGCTCTAACCACTGAGGCCTCAGCTAGGGCTGTAACAATTTTTAACCAGTACGCTGTTGAATAAATACACCTTACAGCTGTCTATTGTTGGGTACTGTTTTGTTATCTACATTAGACACATCCCTGAGGACAGTGGAAGGTCAGTGGAGGCGGTGTGCCTCTGCCGCTTCCTGCTGCCACACTGGCACGGCGACCAGGTCTGCACGGCGCCCGCTCTCCACCCCACACTGGGGCCTGGAGAGCAGAGCGAGGCTTGACGTTAGAGACGGCCGCTCTTGTGGGAAGTTAGACACTATTAGTGACAGCTTTCACACTATCAGTGACAGCTTTTACACCATCAGTGACAGCTTTTACACCATTAGTGACAGCTTTTATACTATCAGTGACAGCTTTACACCATTAGTGACAGCTTTTATACTATCAGTGACAGCTTTACACCATTAGTGACAGCTTTTATACTATCAGTGACAGCTTTCACACTATCAGTGACAGCTTTTACACCATTAGTGACAGCTTTTATACTATCAGTAACAGCTTTTACACTATTAGTGATAGCTTTTACACCATTAGTGACAGCTTTTACACCATCAGTGACAGCTTTTATACTATCAGTGACAGCTTTACACCATTAGTGACAGCTTTTACACCATCAGTGACAGCTTTTATACTATCAGTGACAGCTTTACACCATTAGTGACAGCTTTTATACTATCAGTAACAGCTTTTACACCATTAGTGACAGCTTTTACACCATCAGTGACAGCTTTACACTATTAGTGACAGCTTTTACACCATCAGTGTTAACTGTTCCCGGTTGTTAAACTTGTTGGTTGCAGTGTGCATGACTAATGTTACTTTTAAGTGCACTAGATGTTGTTACCTTAAAGGCCATAAACTTGTGGTATGGCTTGGGTGCCCATGCATACACTTCCACCGAACTCTTCAAAGCAATTACGAGAAATTTGATTCTTTCATATTTTACTGAAAAAAACAAATGAGAACACAAGTCAGTATCAACATGGAACTCTAAATTCTTTGGGCTGTCTTCTGCAAACTTTATAAAGATGACTTCTTTTGGTTCATCCAAACCAACAGGAGGAAAATGCTGAGTGAGATCAAGCCTCAGTTTCCTTTTCAAGTTCTTTTGTGCGTGATTCAGGCTGTTCAATTCGCTGGTTACTACCATTGAGTACCCTCCCTTGCTCCTAATCTTATACTGCAAGTATGTAATTATCTGGGGCAATGCCAGGCATACCCCCCGAAGTCAAGGGCTCAGTAGCGCTTGGAAAGGACAGTGATGAGACTAATCCGTCAAGAATCCCTCAATCACAGCACGAGGCCAAGGCACAGGAGTCTGTACCAAAACACCCCCTGGCAGAGGCTGGATTCTCTGTTTGTGTGTGAGACCAAGTACCATTCCCAACCACACTCGCCCTAGAGAGGCAGTGATTGCTAGGATCCCACCTAAAGTTCCGTACAAAAGAGCGGTAGTAAAGACAATGTCTCTTCGATGATCTACACACAGAAATAGAGGTACGTGTACACACACACATATCGAATGCCCCCGTAACCGCTGTTTTGACCTTGCAGGGGTGACTCTGCTGAAACAAACCCCCGAGAGCCCTGAGCACAGGCATGCACTGGTCTGGGCAGACCCCAGTCCCTTTGTCAATGGTCTCTTCCTTTGCACATGAGAGTCAGGCTTGCCAACCTGATGCCTCTCTCTGTTCAATGCCATCTTGCCACCATTCAAATAAGTGACGCCTCACGCAACCTTATCTCCAGAAAATGCTTGCGATACCGTGGGAATGAGTCACAAGAGGGCTCTGCTTGTTCTGATGAAAACCCATTCCCTCAACACGGCCGCCTCTAGTGCCCCCTGCAGGATAGTCTATCATAAACAGTTCAGCTCTTGGGAGCTGTTTCATTAAGTTTAGACTTGGTTGAGTTTAGTTACACCTCAACAAACAAAAATGTTTCACATAAATACAACCCAGAAAATCCTAATCCCAAGGTCTATGCCCAGGAGACACCAGTACTGTCTGGTATCACTCAGAATCGTTCTAATGCTGGCGAGTGCTGTGACCATCACTGGCCAGGGACTGCGGACTGCGGACAGCTCATGTAAGCAAGAAGACAATGCCAATCCGGGCAGCAGAGAACGGCCAGTAGCATGCACTTCATAAATACGGAACCAAAGGAAACGCACAAGCAGAAGCCAATGCTCGCAGGCCCCTTATGCTGACAATAAGGCTGACGGACACTGGATCTTCTCAAGCTCTCCTTTAAATGAGGAATGATAGTAGATCCTCTCTCCCATAAAACTTCAATTTGACTCAGCACCATGATTTCCCCTCTATTTCCAACATCCATACTGGTATTTTGATTTTTTTATACACAAAGAAAACGGTTTTTTGTTTTGTTTTTGTGAGGTGTTACTGCATAGAACCACAGCATGCATACCAAAAAGAAAAAACGGAGTTGCCAGGAGACACCGACTGGCCGGCCAGATTCATTTCCTAGTTAAGAGCGCAGGAGCTTGCACAGTGGACTTGATTCAAAATGCCAAGCACGGCCGTTGTCAAACTCGTGCAGGCCCCACCAGATGCCCAGGACCCGGAGTCCTTGGCCCTCAGTCCTCCAAGTCGACCGACTTCCCTGGAGTTCATGTGAACACATCTTACAGGGCAGAGTGTGGCCTGTCAAAGAGGAAGGGCGGAGCCCCTCCCTCGGACGTGCTGCGTCGCAGGGGGGAGTGTGCCTGCTCAGAGGTGCCCCTGCGTCCGCCGAGTCTCCAGGAGGGAAGGTGCCTTACAGTCACAGTAATGAGCTGCGTCTCAGGAACAAGTTACAATGAGGGCTTTATGAACACGTGGGCTCTAAGTGAAACGCCCACGAAACCCTGGAAAGCACGCCCCCGGCCCGCTGGGACTCACCCACTTTATAGTGCACACAGCCTTCCAAGTCGCCCACGGTGGTCCACCCCTGCTTCTTCTCCACTTCTGGGTCATTGTGAAGGATTTTATTCCTTAACCAGGACAAATAGTAGACACGCAACTTATCCTTTTTGCCTAGCAAAACAAATAAAAAAGTAGATATCCTCATCAATAACAACAGTAACCAAAAGAAACTTCCATAAACAATAAATACTGTCTCCCTAAGGGAGTCATGTTGCAGTAGTTTTACTAGAAATTCAATTCAGGGTCTTCAGGGGGACTCTGAAACCCAAGAATTATCACCAGGTATAGCCTGAGTTAAAAGGAAGATTTTAAAAAGAACTCACACTTATGTAGACGAACAGTGTCAATAAACCACAAAGTAGTACAAACACTTTCACAACAAATAATCAACAGAGCTAGTAAGATGCTTTCATGTATATCATGTTATCTGATTCTCAAAACCCTCCAGCATAGCTATTACTTCCCATTAGGCAGCACAGGATTAAATAAATCACCAACGGGGACTTCATCCACAGAAGGCTACCTACAAATTGGAGATGTGTGCCACAGCATCCAGAATTTGTAAGAACTCTTATAAATCAACTGGAAGACATGACCCAATAGAAAGACTGGGCAAGTGACTGGAGCGGGCAGAAGTCATCTCATAGATACATACAGAGGTACTGCTCTCAAAAGTCAATAGTGAATGCACATTAGACATAACGAGGCACAAAGGCATACACCTATCCGTGTCTAGAACTAAAAAGATAATACTGAAAGCAATAATACTGAAAGCAGGAGACATGTGGAATAACTAAAAACTTGAGTAACTAGTGTTGAAATTTGTTAGAACTACTTTGATAAGCTCGGCGTTATCTATGAAAGCAGAATAAACGTATACATTGCTATGATCCAGTCATTTCTCTCCTCATATACACGTGTGTATATGAGCTCCCACATACATGAACATTGTTTGTAACAGCCCCACAGAGGAAGCAACACGAGTGTCTATCAACAGCAGAATGAGTGTGACATGGTCACCCACAGGAATAAAGAGGAACAAATACAGCTATAAACCATACACACACAAAAGCATTTGACAAAACCCAGCACCATCTCATGATAAAAATCCAGGTAAGCCCTGGCCGGGTGGCTCAGCTGGTTGGAATGTCGGCCCATGGACCGAGAGGTCACTGGCTTGATTCCCTGTCAGGGCAGATACCTGGGTTGCGGGCTCAATCCCTGGTGGGGGTGTGCAGGAGGCAGCTGATTGCTGTTTCTCTCTCTCCCCCTCACTCTCTCCTTCCCTCTCTCCAAAATCAATAAAAAATGTGTTTTTTTTAAAGTCAACTTCTTTCCTATATATTGCCAAAGCAGTTGGAAATTTGAAACTAAACAGTCTGAAAGGCTACATGCTGTGATTCCAACTGTCACCTGAAAAAGGCAAGGGCGAGACAGTAAGAAAGATCAGCTGCTGCAGGGGCGTGGGCAGAGGGGCGAGCAGGTGGAGCCAGGGGCTTTTCAGGGCAGTGAGAATAGTCTGTATGACACTGTCGTGGTGGGTAATTATGCACGGCCGGAACCCAGAATGCACAACACAAGAGTGCACCCCAATATAAACTATGGACTTAAAGTGGCCAGCCACAGAATACTACTTATGACTTTACCATTAATATGACTTCAGTTCAATGAAGGCAAAATCCATCGAAGGTGTTAAAGTCAGGAGCATGTTTCCGTCTGTGACTGACAGGCTGCACGAGGGAGGGTCTGGGTGCGGCTGCTCTCTCGCCAGTGCAGGCTGTGTGGGTTCTAACTGATATCACTGAGCTGTAGACTCAGCATCTGTGCACTTTCTGTACTACGTCTTATACTTTTTAAATTTTGAAGAATTTGGGAGAATATTGAATATGGTGAAACAAAGACCACATAGTTTTATGTAAAGTGTTTTATTCCCATATTGTGAGATATATTTATAGAAAAGAGAAGAAAATACAAAATGTTAACAAGTTATGCCAAAGACAGGAGTAACATTTACGCTTTCTAAGTGTTCCTGTTTTTGAAGCTTCTACAGTTGACATGTATTACTTTTATGATTGTGAAAACCATTAAAAGCTGCTAAAAAAGAATATGGAAAATTAGACCAAAAAATTATCATTGGCACCAGCTGACCATCGCCCTCTATGAACCGTCTGGCACAGCAGAGAGAAGTCTCAGCCTCTTCTATGTGCAGATTTGCGTACCTCCCGTTTCAGAACCCACTCCCCACCAGCACTCAAGTTTTTAATGACTGTTTTCTCACTTAAGTGGGATGGTGACATTTCTGCATTTCAACAAACACCTTTACTTACAACCAAAAGCCTATTTGAAAACTAAAATAACTGCAAGAAATTTGTTACATATAAACAAACACAACAAGATTGAGTTAGCAGATAACTAAATCAAAACTAAGACCTATTGAAAGTCATAATTTTGCCCTAGCTGGTTTGGCTCAGTGGATAGAGCATCGGCCTGCAGACTGAAGGGTCCCAGCTTCGATTCTGGTCAAGGGCACGTGCCAGGTTTGCAGGCTCGATCCCCAGTTGGGGGTGTGCAGGAGGCAGCCGATCAATGGTTCTCTCTCATCATTAATATTGAAATCAATAAAAATATATTTTAAAAAAAGAAAGTCATAATTTTGCATCCTCTTTGATCCCAGCACCAATACAAGTTATTAGGAAATTACAATCTATGAAACATGAGTATGCATGCTCACGGATAAGCAAGCTACAAAGACATTTGTGAAACACGCATACATGAGGGGAAGGGGGTGGACGGAAAGACGTACAACAGAAGGCGAGTGAATGTTAGCACAGCTACTTAGAGAGGCACTGGGTCTGTACAGCACGGGATCATGGAGAACGTTCAATGACGGGAAGAGCAGGCTGCAAGGTTTGGACACAGGAATGGAGGGCACACAGGACAGTGGTTCCTGTGGGAGGCGGGCAGAGGGCATGCTAACTGCATGGACAACAGTGTGTTTTAACTTCTACTAAAACCAGCTAGTCAGTAGATGGGTATCCTATTTTCTCATTTTTATTCTCTGGATGTTTTGAAACATTGCATAACCATTTTTACATAGATTTTCCCCCCGTAAGTGTATTTTGAGTGTGTCTATGCTTAAAAGACTGGAAATTAAAAACCGAAAGGTTAATACACCTTATCTTTGGATGATTTTAGGTTTTACTTCTTCTACTTGCTTTTCTGCAGTAGTTTGTCACTTTCAATAATGAACATTTACTACATAATTTATACTAAAAAAGGTGCTCTTTCTGAAAAGAAACTTATGGTGTTAATTGATGGAAGAAAAAACACGTTGCTTTTACTATTGTGGCAGGAGCAGTGCCTTTGCATGAAGAGTAGCACGGGTGGAAGCGGCACAGACCTACACGCCAAGGAGCCACAGGGCAGTGTGGGTCGTGGGGGTGTCCATGCCCGGGGCTCCCGTGCTTCCCAAGGCTGCTCCTCAGAGGAATGGTGGTAGGGTGCACCCGGGGTTCGGATGCACCTGGGGTTAGGGTGCACCTGGGGGTAGGGTGCACCCGGGGTTCAGATGCACCTGGGGTTAGGGTGCACCTGGGGTTAGAGTACACCAGGGTTAGGGTGCACCCGGGGGTAGGATGCACCTGGGGTTAGGGTGCACCTGGGGGTAGGGTGCACCCGGGGTTCAGATGCACCTGGGGTTAGGGTGCACCTGGGGGTAGGGTGCACCGGGGGTTCAGATGCACCTGGGGGTAGGGTGCACCCGGGGTTCGGATGCACCTGGGGTTAGAGTGCACCGGGGTTAGGGTGCACACGGGGGTAGGATGCACCTGGGGTTAAAGTGCACCGGGGTTAGGGTGCACCCGGGTATAGGGTGCACCTGGGGTTAGAGTGCACCCGGGGGTAGGGTGCACCCGGGGTTAGAGTGCACCCGGGGGTAGGGTGCACCCGGTATAGGATGCACCCGGGGTTAGAGTGCACCGGGGTTAGGGTGCACCCGGGGTTAGGGTGTGCGGCGAGTCACACCTGATCTGGCTGTATCTCATTTCATGCAGCCGTTACTTCAGAAGATGAGGTAGCTGAAGGTCAGTGCTAGGAGGTGCTGTTTGAAACAGTGCTACAACCCTGCTTTCTTGAGCAAATACTTACCAGATATTGTCACCAAAACATTCAAGCCTTCGAGGACATCCATCTGCTGAAATCGTCTCCGGTTGATCAGAGGGTATACCTTCCCTTGGCCACTTCTGTCCAGCAGCATCAGGCCACTTTCTGTTCCCACTAACAAATTCACTCCTGTTTCAAGGACACAGACAGGCCTGGGTTACACTGTGCTTGGCAGGCAGGCTGGGGGCACGGAGAGGGAGCCACCTGGCTGGCAGATTTGTTTTTTTTTTTCAGACACAGGAAGGAGGCTCCTCCCATATTCCTTTGAGGCATCCATGCTGTGGTTATATGCAGTAACACCTCACAAAAACAAAACAAAAAACCGTTTTCTTTGTGTATAAAAAAATCAAAATACCAGTATGGATGTTGGAAATAGAGGGGAAATCATGGTGCTGAGTCAAATTGAAGTTTTATGGGAGAGAGGATCTACTATCATTCCTCATTTAAAGGGGAGCTTGAGAAGATCCAGTGTCCGTCAGCCTTATTGTCAGCATAAGGGGCCTGCGAGCATTGGCTTCAGCTTGTGC